CACTATTTTTTGTTTTGAAACAGGGTCTTAGGTAGCCTAGGCTGGATTCTAGCCAAGGATGACCCGATCCTCAGGCCTCTACCACTTGAGGGCTGGGAATATAGGTATGTGCCATCACCCGGTTTATACAGTGTTGGGGATGAAATCCAGGACTTCATGCACATTAGGCAGACACTACTGACTGAGCTACATCTCTCCCCGCCACCATTCAATGACACTTCTCTAGCTGTTCACATCAAACTCTGGCGTCACCTTCTTCCTCTCGAATTCCATATCCAAGTTGACTCACCCACAAATCCTATTGGCTGAACTTCCAAATAGACCCAGAATGCATTTTTCACCTCGAGTGTGGCAATGGCCTCCTTGTGCATCTTCCTGATTCTACCCTGGCTCCTTTTCTTCTCCACACCGCAATCTGAGTGGGTCTGTCAAAAGGCAGGAAAGACTGTACCAACTCCTCTGCTCAAATGCCTCCAATGGACCCAACTCACCCTGAGTGAAAACCAAGGCCTTCTGTGACTTGCAAATGTGTCCTCCCATCCCCAACATCCTTCTGACCTCATCTTCTTCATTCCCGAATCACTCACTCCTTTCTGGTCATAGTGGGTTCCTGGTTGGTCCCTAAACCCGCCAAAGGTGTTCCCTGCAGGTGCTGGAACTTGCTTATCCCTTTGCCTGGGCCACACTGCCCTCTGCCATCATGGTCCATTTCTTCACTCCTTTCAGATCTTTATTCAGGAGCTGGCACTTCAGTTATCCTGGCATTCGGGGGACTAAGGCAGAAGGATAGTCAGCTTTAAGCTAGCCTGGGCTACAGAGTGAGTTCCAGCAGCCAGCCTGAGCAACAATGTGAGACCTGTCTTGGAAAAAAAAAGAATGGGGTTGGAAAGATGACTCATGGCTAGGTGGTTAAGAGCACTGGCTGTTTTGCAGAGGACCCAGGTTCAGTTCCTAGCACCCACATGGTGGCTAATAATCATCTGTAACTCCAGTTCCAGGGGTTCCAATGCCCTCTTCTGACCTCTGTGGGCACTGCATGACAAGGGTGCACTTACATACATGCAGGCAATACACTCATACACATAAAATTAAAATAACAGATAAAGTTTTTTTGGTTTTTTTTTTTT